GTAGGCATGAGTTGACATGGGATTAGAACCTGACCTGGTCTCGGTAGGCATGAGTTGACATGGTATCGGAACCTTACAGGGGATGAAAAGGAGCAGGATCATCAGTGTAGTGGAAAGTCTTGTATGAGCGATCCAAACCTGCAAAGTCAGACTGCCACCCCTCTGCAAGAGTGTGAAATAGATGAGGAAACTTTGAAGAAAGCTACAGAAGCAGCTACTGATTTATTGCCTAAAACAACTACTTTGAAACAGACCTTTATGACCAAAGCCTCTCCGACTCCCGGGGCGTGCACCTACTAGGAGCCCAAGTGTGATAAGGCATTAGAGGAAGATTGCTCTTCAGGAAAGGTCAGGGCTGTTAACGCGTGATTGATCACAGTCCCCACCTCCAACGCAAATAACCCATCGGGATGTGAAGAACGCCAGAATAATGCTTTCCCTATCAAACAGGCTCGTACAAATTATGAAGTGGACTCCCCATTTGTTAATGTATGATAGATTTCTGGCAGAAAGGGAGCTCCTTCCACCAGCAGACTGGAATGCTTTAACTAAAGTTTGTCTTTCCCCTCTAACTACTTACAACATCATACTTGTTGGGCCGAGGGGGCGGAGATGCTAAGGATGCAAAAATGTGGAGCACGATGTGCTCGTGAGTATAAAGGTCAGTTGCTGGCAAAGGCAACTATGTCACTATTGCAGCCCAGTTACAGATTCCTGAACAGGGGCTTTCACAAATATGTGATATCTGTTTGCACACTTGGGAGAGGATAGTTCCCCTGGAGAAAAAAGACCTAGTTGTACAGCCATGCGCCAATGAAATGATGAACCCTATGTGGAGTTTGTGTCCCATTTGCAGGAAGTAGTCCATAAAACATCAATAATGCAGACATTCGAACAGTCTACTATGGACATTAGCTTATGACCATGCTAACCATGATTGCCAACAAACCATCTGTCCTTACTAGGAATAGGGCACAATTTTAGACTACATTAAGATTTGCAGGGGAGTTGGATCTGAAACATATATAGAGCTGACCTGTTGGTTGTAGTGATGGCCAATTATACCAGACTAAAGGGGAAGTGTTTTAATTTTGGAAAGATCAGGCATTTTCTAAGAGAATGCCAGCAGTGTCCATCACCCAACCCCGAAACTAGGGGCAGGGCCAGATTAGGCTCACCAGACCCCAGTCTGTGTCCCTGCTGCAAAAAGGGAAATCATTGGGTGAGTCAGTGTCACCCATGGATCAGTAGCGATGGGACTTCATTAGCCAATAATGTAATGGTCTGGTCTGGAAACAGGGCATGGCAAGCTCCAAGCTCCTACCAACAGAGTCTGGAGGGTGAACATTCAGCCCAACTCTCCCTACAGTGCCCTAGGCCTCACTCAGTCTAATCATTCATTCCCGCCAGCAGAGGGAGTGCAGTTAGATCTAACTAGCCAAGAAGAGGTTCAATTAATACCAGGAACCCAGCAGTTGTTGGAACCAACAAGAGTATGGGGGTCTCTGCTGGAGGAAACGACTTTGGCTAGGGAAATCTAACCTAAATACTCAAGGTGTTCAGATCATTACTGAAGTTATTGATCAAGATTTTGAAGGGGAACTTAAAGCTGTAATTAAAACGGAAATCCTGTGGGTTATCACAAAAAGGGATCCCAATTACTTTTACTTCCTTACACTCTTATTAGTAAGACAAACACCACTCGCGGGTGAGAGTGCACAAGGAATCAAGCTTGCATACAGGTCATAGAGCATCTTGGAATGCTGTGATGGAGAGACAAGAAGGCTCCAATACGGAATTAATAATTGAAAGGGAAAGGTTTTCAGGACTTTTAGATTTCAGGAGCTGACGTCACTGTCATAAGCCATCAACAATGGCTCTAGGTGTGGCCGCTCACAACCCTTGAATTCAACCTGAGAGGAGTAGGAGAAATTAGCCAGGAAAGAGTATGGCACAGTAAGAAAACCCTACAGTGTATGAGGCCTAAAGGGCAGTCCGGTTTAATTAAGCCCGTTGTCATTATCAATCATAAATCTCTGTTACAACAAGGTGGGGCCTGGCTATATATATCCCCCAAAATTCTACAGCACAAGACATGGAAATGGATATAAAGGGGGAGCCTCAGAAAAAAATGAACAAGGAGATCCTTTTCCAATCTAGGCGGCTCCCAATATGACCATGATGGTTTAGAGGCAGCGGTTCTCAACCTGTGGTTTGTGAGTCAATCGATCCTTTCACAGGGGTCGCCCGATTCACAACAGTATCAAAATTACAGTTATGGAGCCGCCGCCTCCTCCTCGGATGTGGCTCGAGCTGCAGGCGCGCAGGGCCCGAGACGCTGCAGACCCGCGACCCGGAGCAGCTCAGAGGCGGTGAATAATAGCTCTTCAAGTCTGCAATAAAAAATGACCTCCAATAAAACTACATTGCAAAAAATGGGAAAGAAACAGAATGGAAAGAGTAAAAAAGTCGAAGAGGCTGAACCTGAAGAATTTGTGGTAGAAAAAGTACTGGACCGGCGTGTTGTGAATGGGAAGGTGGAATATTTCTTAAAATGGAAGGGATTTACAGGTGCTGATAATACTTGGGAACCTGAAGAAAATTTAGATTGTCTAGAATTAATTGAAGCATTTCTTAACTCTCAAAAAGCTGGTAAAGAAAAAGATGGTATGAAAAGAAAGTCTTTATCTGACAGTGAATCTAACGACAGCACATCAAAGAAGAAAAGAGATGGTGCTGACAAACCAAGGGGCTTTGCCAGAGGTCTTGATCCTGAACGAATAATTGGTGCTACAGACAGCAGTGGGGAATTGATGTTTCTCATGAAATGGAAAGATTCAGATGAGGCAGACTTGGTGCTGGCAAAAGAGGCAAACATGAAATGTCCTCAGATTGTCATTGCGTTTTATGAAGAGAGGCTCACTTAGCATTCTTGTCCAGAAGCTTAATAATTGTTTGCATTGCTTTATATATATATATAATTTGGGTCTTGGGTTTTTTTGTTTCTATTTTGAATTATTAGTAAGAAGAATAACTACATTCTAATGGAAATCAAGTTTGATATTTTTTTGTAGTAGTACTGGGGGAGTTGTTGGGGTTATTTTGTTGTTGTATAAACAGCACTGGTTACTTTGAACAAATAAAGCTTTCGGTAGTTGCTTCATTTATCAGAAAAGAACATTTGATACCATGGTATATTATTTCCTCTGCATTACAAAATAGCTTTTCTAAATATTGGAAGTTCTAGTTATTACTGAATCAAAACTTGTTTAAACCATAATGTATGCCTAAGGACCATTCTGGATGTTTGGTTCTTTGTTTTTCTGTGTGTATGCATAAATACGTATGTATATTTTATTTTGTTTTACCTTCACCAAAAACTGTTCTAAACAAAAATGGCATTTAACAACCATGGGTATCTCCCTGTTGTTACAGGGACGGATGCTATCCTTCTGAGCAACTCAAGGAGACCACGTCAAGTAAAATGGAGGTGGGGGGGACTTGTGAGCCATAAGCTTTTAAATCAAATAAATGATCCAGTAATTAATTAAACAACTCTCTCAAATCCACACTTATAGAATCATATAAATGAAACTATTTGCAAAGTCCCCTGTGTGCAAAAAAAATCTTGACCACTACTCAAAACCTCCCTACCCAAATAAAGAAAACTAGACTAATGTTGGTATGTCTTCAAGGTGGATATATGTTCCTTTTAGATAACCTTTTCTTTTTTTTACAGAAAGTTAAAATCTGTGTTACGTAAAAGATGATTCATGGAATGTTTTAAGACCTTGCTGTTGAAAAACCTAATGAGCTGGTTAGCAATGCTGCCGCTGAGGACCTGCTGCAGAAATGGTGAACAAACTTGTCATTCCGACTCCTGGCCTGCTGGTTTGTTTTTATCCCAACCCACTCTTCACAGGGAGGTCCAACCTTCTCAGTATTGGGGTTTCTTTCTATCCCAACCCACTCTTCACAGGGAGGTCCAACCTTCTCAGTATTGGGTTCTGTTTCTATCCCAACCCACTCTTCACAGGGAGGTCCAGTATCGGGGTGACTCTAGATCAGCTAAAGCCAGGAAAAACAACTTTGTCGTAATCAGAATGTTAACCCAATTGTATATTGTTTAATTTATTGCAAATACTGGTGAACCATGGTCAATAAATAGTTTTATATTCCTTTAAAAAAATTACAGTTATGAAGTAGCAACGAAAGTAATTTTTTGGTTGGGGGATCACCACAACATGAGGAACTTGTTATTAAAGGGTCGCGGCATGAGGAAGGTTGAGAACCACTGGTTTAGGGTATTCACATTTTTAGTGGGGGCCGCTGTTGTAAAGCCTGCTCCCATTAAACTATCTTGGAAGTCTACCAATCTAATATGGATAGAACAGTGGTCCCTTAATCAAGAAAAATTGCAGGTATTGCATGAATTAGTTCAGGAACAGCTCAGAGAAGGCCATATTGAGCAGACTCTCAGCCCTTTGAATTCTCTTGTGTTTGTAATTAAAAATAAATCTGGTAAACGGCTTATGCTCATAGATTTACGGGCAGTTAATTCAATCGTACAGCCCATGGGGGCCCTTCAGTCTGGCCTTCCCTCATCAAGTATGATTCTGGAGGAATGGCCTTGGTAGTAGTCATTGATTTAAAAGATTGTTTTTATACTATCCCCATAGATCCTGCTGACAGAAAAGTTCACTTTCACAGTCCTGGAATTAAACAATAAAGCCCCGACTAAAAGATTCCAGATGCGAATCTTAGTTCAGGGTATGGTCAATAGCACTACCATGTGTCAGTTTTTTGTGGGAAACGTTTTTTGTTTTGTTTTTTAATTATTTTATTGGGAGCTCATACAATTCTCATCACAATCCATACACATACATCCATTGTGTCAAGCACATATGCACGTTTGTTGCCCTCATCATTCTCAAAACATTTGCCTCCCACTCCAGCCCCTAATATCAGTTGCTCATTTCCCCCCTCCCTCCCCACTCCCCCATCCCTCATGAACCCTTCATAGCTCATAAATTATTTTAGTTTTGTCATAAGTTACCCTGTCCAATGTTTTCCTCTGCCTTCTTCTCTGCTGTCCAACCCCCAGGAAGGAGGCAATACTTAGATTCTTATAATTGATTCCCCCTTTCTGCCCCACATTCCCTTCACCCTCCAGGCATCACCCCTCTCACCACTGGTCCTGAAGGAGTCATCTATACTGGATCCCCTGTGTTTCCGGTTCCTATCTGTACCAATGTACATCCTCCGGTCCAGCCAGATTTGTAAGGTAGAATTGGGATCATGATAGTGGGAGGGAGGAAGCATTAAAGAACTAGAGGAAAGTTTTTTGTTTCATCGTTGCTACCCTGCATGTAGGAAAAGTTTTACAATCAGTCAAAGACCTTTTTTCCCCCAGAACTTACATTACCCACTACATGTATGATATCTTAATAGGAGCACCTGATAGTGGAATGCTACAACAAGCTTATATTCACATCAGTGAGGCTATCTCTCAGGCAGGATTAGTAATTGCTCCTGATAAGATCCAGACAACCAACCCTTATACATATTTAGGAACAGTGGTGGACCAGACCACCGTTAGGCCACAGAAACTTGAAATTAAAAAAGATAATCTAAAAACATTAAATGATTTTTGAAAGTTATTAGGAGATATCAATTGGATATGCCCTTTGTTGAGCAGTCCCAAACATGAGCTCCAACACCTGTTTAACACGTTGAAAGGGAACCCCCAGCTGAATAGTTCTAGGGAGCTCACCCCTGAGGCTCGCCTAGATTTAGTTTATGGAAGAACACATCGGCCAGAGTAAGATTTACCACGCTGACCCAACTAAAAACATTCACCTTGTCATTCTTCTCACACCTATTACTCCCACTGTCATATTAGTCCCCCAAAAAAAGCCTTTAGAGTAGCTGCAACTAGGCAATACGGGCCCCAAAGTCAATTGTCTTTATTGGGAAAAATAGCTCAGCTGATTGCTAGGGGCCGACATCGCTTTTGATGGATGGATATTATGATCCATCAATCATAATATTACTTTATACCCCAGCTCAGATGAAAACTCTTAAAATTTTCTGCAGATTTTCAAATAGTACTGGTTTGTTTGTTTGTTTTTCTCCAGTTCCTTTTTTTTTTTAATCATTTTATTAGGGGCTCATACAATTCTTATCACAATCCATACACATTTCAATTGTGTAAAGCGCATTTGTACATTCATTGCCCTCATCTTTCTCAAAACAATTACTCTCCACTTAAGCCCCCGGCATTGGGTCCTCATTTTTCCCCTCCCTCCCCGCTACTCCCTCCCTCACGAGCTCTTGATAATTTATAAATTGTTATTTTGTCATATCTTGCCCTGTCCGGCGTCTCCCTTCACCCACTTTTCGGTTGTCCGTCCCCCAGGGAGGAGGTCACATATAGTTCCTTGTAATCGGTTCCCTCTTTCCTACCCACTCTCCCTCTACCCTCCCAGTATCGCCACTCACACCACTAGTCCTGTAGGGCTCATCCGCCCTGGATTCCCTGTATTTCCAGTTCCTATCTGTACCAGTGTACATCCTCTGGTCTAGCCAGACTTGCAAGATAGAATTCGAGTCATGATAGTGGGAGCGGGGAGGAAACATTTAGGAACTAGAGGAAAGTTGTATTTCTCATCATTGTTACATCGCACCCTGACTGGCTCATCTCCTCCCCGAGACCCATCTGCAAGGGGATCTCCAGTGGCCTACTAATCACTGGTTGGTTTTTATGGGAAATTAGATTGCCATTACCTTCTGGGAAAATTTGGAGAGTTCTTGAAACAGATTCCATGGATCATTAGTAAAATCTCCTCCCCGAAGCTGCTTGAGGGAGTCCCTACATATTTTTACAGACGATTCTATCAACAGCCTCACAGCCTATTGAGGCCCCTCCTCTCAATCCTTTCAAACTTATACCTCTGCTCAGAAAACACAAATATTTGCCCTCACTCTACTGTTCAAAAATGTGAAGCATTTTGGAAATGATGATGGCAACATATGTACAAGTGTGCTTAATACAATTGAATGATGGATTGTTATAAGAGTTGTAAGAGCCCCCCAATAAAATGATTAATAATAATAATACAAAAAAATATGAAATGGCCCAACAATATAATTAATGATTCTGCATATGCAGAACAAGTATGGTCTTTCATTGAAACAGTGAAACTGAAATCAGACCCACACTCCGACACTGGTAAGTTATTCCTCACCTTACAAATTCAAATCAGACCCCATCCTCATCCATTTTTTCATTGGACATACATGAGCACATAGCACTCTGCCTGGTTCTGTTGCCATGGGAAATGCAAATGCTGATAGGCTAACTCAGAGACATTGCTTTCTCTCACTCCCCCACGAGCTGAACACCACCATCTCCGTAACAATGCAGCCAGTTTGAAGCAAAAGTATCATTTGACTTGGTCTCAAGTTAGACAAGTTGTCCAAAATTGCATACATTACTAGCAAGCAACACTTAAGGAGGGACCCAGTGGAGTTTATCGATGCAGGGATCTGTCCAATGCCGTCTAGCAAATGGATGTCACTCACATACTCTCATTTGGACATCTAGGAGCTGTGCAGGTTACTATACATACATTCTAAGGGGTTCTTGTAGGCGTCAGCCATGGCTGGTGACCTCACAAAACATGTTATTAGCCATTTGCTGTCCTGCTTTGCCGTGAAAACATGCAATGGTCCCACTTACACTAGCAAGCAATTTCTCCATTTTTTGTCAAAACTATTCATGCTGTCAAAAATATTCAGCATATCACAGGCATTCCTTATAATCCCCAAGGCCAAGCTCTTATTGAACAAGCACATGGCACTCTAAAATCTCAATGACTAAAACAGAAGGGGGAAATGAAGGGCAGTTCTGTATAAGACAAACTTC